TGTTGTTTGTATGCCTAAAGATTATAGAGGGCTGGGTATTCTCAACCTGTCTGATCTCATCAGAGTCTCTATTCTAAAGCATATATGGAACCGTTTTTTAGAGACATTGGTCAGACTTTATGATATGAATGGGCTCATTCAAATTTTATCAAGGGCAAGAGCTTTTGGAATCTCAAGCCTGGGTATCCTTGGTCATGGAATTGGAGAATGATATTGAAGCTTAGAGGGATAGCTAGGCCTTTTATCAAGCACATAATGGGCAATAGTAAGGGTACATTTATGTGGTATATATGACAACTGGCTAGCCTCTGGTCCTCTTGACCATAGGCTGAACCCCATTTTCATTGCCAATTCTCTATGGGTTGAAAACACAAAGGTAGCTACTCTTATCAGGCATGACCAATGGAGAATTCCTCCAACCTCTTGAGCTTTGGTTCCCTCTATTTGAAACATGGATAAACCTCTTCCAATCTGTCCAGACACCATTGACAAGCTAGTGTGGACTCCTCCTCCTACAGGCAGTTTTAACTTGAAGCATACTTTTAGTGTTCTCATTCTACTTGCTCCAGAAGTCTATGGTCTCACATCATTTGGTTCTCAATCTAATCATATTCCTAGACAGTCTTTCATCCTATGGATGACCCTAAATAGGAGATAAGCCTGGACTCTCTACCACTAACAATTCCATCACCCTGCTCTTTGTGTGCTACAGAGAATGAGACTCACTAGCATTTGTTCTTTGGATACTCTTACTCTTATAAGGTTTGGGAAATCCTTCCAACACAAATGTGGAATTTACTGTGGTTTCGGATCATTTGACAGCATTGCTAATTGGATAACCAATGTATGTAGCTCTAATTCCAAATCCATCACCTTACTTGTTTACAAGCTCTGTTTCTCCTGTTGTGTCTACTATATTTGCAAGGAAAGGAACAATCATACCTTCTCTGGGAAGCTTGCATCTTTAGAGGCAACGATGAAAGCTATTGATGAGTGTATCATAAATCGTCTTCTCTCCTTGAAGCTCAAGGACTACAAAAGTGCGAGATCAATTGTTACTGCTTGCCTCCTCTCCAACTCAGTAACTGATAGCAACACTTCTTTGATTAATCCATCCCTGGGTTGACCCTATTCTCATTTTGTTTTGGCCTCTGCTCTTCTTCTTCTTGTGCTCTCGTCTCTGTTTTAAAGGTGAATTGCACTGACCTTTATGGGGTTTGGGTTAAAAGACACAATTGAAGCGCTTTTTGGATAATGACTCCCTTAAAGTTTCATAAACTGAACATAAACACCTCAATCAGGATAAAAGTACATATTTATCGTTTGACGTCTGACTGACCCATATGAATAGTTAAATTACTTTTATAACCTTCTTAAATAGGGATGTCAATTTTTACCGTCCCGCCGGGGACCCGCTCCATCCCGCCCCGTTAATAACGGATATAAGAACACTTTTTTTACCGTTGGGGCGGGCATGGATACAAATTTTGTACCCGTTGCGGGTCATGGGGTAGGTAAGGGTTCAGTATACATATCCTAGGGGCTTTGCCCCGCCGCGCTAAGCATATAATTATATTTATATATATATATAACTTATCTTAGCGGCTTACTTAGTTACCCATCTCTTATAATCCTAATTCGGGATGTAAATTTGATATTAAATTTGCTTTTGTTTTAGTTATGGTGGAAGTTAGAGCTTAAAATTTCTTGTGATTTGGCTGTATTAAACTTTTATTTTTGTTTATTATGTTCTCTGAATTATGTTATGTGTATGTTATTTTTTTTTATTTTTGTTGGGATACATAATTTGATTTATGTTGTGTCATCCCAGGCTTTCCACATATAAATAGCAGGAGCTTAAGTTCTAAAACGTGGGAGAAAAAAATTTGTTAGCGGGGCGGGCACGGAGGCACAGTATTTCCCAACGGGGCGGGGCTGGATATGAAAATCTAACCCGTTGCGGGTCTCGGGGCGGGCATAAACTTAACAAAAATTAAAAGAGGTGGGACGGAATTTAGGGAAACCCGCTTCAAATCCGCCCCGTTGCCATCCCTATTCTTAAATGCTTACTTTCAAAATATATTTACACCAATATTTAGAACTAGTCAAATTAGATTAAAGAGATCAATTTCCTTTTACTAAATGTCTACTTTCAAAATATATTTACACCAATATTTAGAAAGTTGCATAACTAGTCAAATTGGATTAAAGAGATCAATTTCCTTTTAATAACGTGTCTTCTAAATTATTACCCTATTCAAATTTATTAAAAGTCTATAAACTGTTAAACACATAAAATCACTAACTTATAAGGGGTAAAAAAAAAAAAAAAAAAAAAAAAGAAAAAGAAAAAGAAAAAGAAAAAAGGAAGGTTGGAATCAACCACTTGCATGAATCCAACTATCCCGAAAATCTTTACTTTCCATCAACCAAACTCTTAAAATATGTATATATTTTTTAAATTGTTTCTTTTCCTACTGTTTTAGGCGAACCAAATCAATCCTAATATAAAGCTAGAGAGAGAGAGAGAGAGCTAATATTGATGTTGCCTATGGAGTCCAAGGATGGTGCAGTGGAAGGATTGCCTGTGTGGCTGTGTACGTTGTTACAGAACCCTATTTCGATTTGCGACTGTGCTTTAGGTTTTTCTATTTAGCCCTTCAACATGATATAATATTTCTATATAACCCTTTAACACGTATCCAATGGCTGAGATGGGAATATGATTTGGTTTACTGGGCTAGTTAATTAAATTGACTATGTTTGTTAACTGGGCTTCTAAAAACTAAAGTACAAATTAGGCCAATGAATTAATATGAATTTGGGCCACACTTGTTTATATGGGTTGGGTTTTTAAATATAATATATTTTTATATAAATAAAACTATTCACGAGTTCACGAGCCGAGCTTAACATTGTTCAAGCCCAGCTTGTTTGCTAAGCAAGTTTGAAAAATGAGTTCCGGCCAACTTGGCTCATTTACTAAATGAAGGAGTCTGAGCTAAACTTTTAGCGAGTCAAACCCGAGCTGTTCATGAAAAATTCGATTCATTTGCAACCCTACCTAGCTAGTTTTTATTTTTTTCAATAATGTAAATACTATCACTCACTAGTGATAAAAAACCAATATGGCATTTGAAATTAGCGCATTGTAAATTGTAAGATAAATTACATTAACCTAGCTCACTCGAGGTTTGGACAAATTAAACACAGGTAGACCGTCACATTTATTACTTTGACCTCCCTTGAGATTTGATAGTGTATGTGCTTAATGACACTCCTAGAGTTTTCTTTCTGATAGATCATTTGACCAAATTTATAAAAATGACAATTTCACTATTCCCTTATATAAAATGTAATATAATATATGATTATAACATAAGGTCATTATTGACTTTTCACATTAAAGTTACTTTTCAGCAACCGACGAACGAATTTAGAGAAGGTCAAAGTAATAAACGTCTATCCGTGTGTAATTCACCCAAATTCCAATAGAGGTTTGTGTAATTTACCTAAATTTTAATAAACACCCCCTTGTGTGGAGAGATATCAAATTGCAATCCACGATCTAATCAAGGTTTTCGACGCCCGGTAAACATTAGCTACTTCTCATTTAATGTTAGGACAAACACTGACAAATAGGGCAAACACAATCAAGAATTGAGACCAAAAAAAAAAAAAATCATACATTATACAAAATTCAAAGTTTGTAATTTAATAGCCCATGGTGAAGATTGGGAAAGAGTTTTCACAATACCAAGATTTTTATTTTATTTTTAATGAAAATACAAGTCTCCCCAGCCCTAACCCTTGTACTCTAGCTCTTTGTCTCCATCTCATTCTCTATCTCAATTATAAGTGCTTTCAATGGACAGTATAAACCATAGCACCGTTATATATTGAGTTACAATAAAAATTAGAATCGGTCCAAAACTCGTAAGACAGAAACGAGTCAATTTTTTTAATGCCATGCAGCTAGTCCAAGTAGTTTCAGTTTATTTTAGGTATATGTGTGTGGTTACAACTATTAACTTCAAATAAATTAAATTGTTGTTATAAAACTTAAACTATAGTAATCACATGCACGGCTGAACAACTATAGATTGAACTGATAGAGTGAAAATGGAGTCCATCCAGCATTGATAATAGCAAGTTACACCTTCACTATCATACTATACATATGTGTATGTGTGTGTTAGTTCCAATGTCACCATAGAGTGTATATGAAGCTAAAATTTATAGGGCAAAAGCGAAAACAAAGGGGAAATGACCTAAAATTGACACCCACCTACAATCCTATTTCTTCACGTAGACTTCTCATATAATACAAGAAACCTCCCCAAGGTGATAAAACATTAATATATAGATTGCCCCATCTCCACTCTAGCTCTTTTCTTTTTCCCTTTACTTAATATTTCTTATTAGATTTTAATTCTTTTAATCAGTATTACCATCTCAAGTATACCTATATATATAGTAATTTTGGTTGGGAGTATAATGGAGGGAAGTGGGAAGGAAAGGGGAAAGGTAAAAGAAAAGGATAGCACCTCCCTATTTGGAATAGAGGGAAGGCAGAGAGGAAAAGGAGGGAGGAACTAGTTTTTAACACATATATACAGTATACTACCTCCCAAAACATATAATTAAAAATATTTCCTTTGGTCCTTCCTTAAATCATTCCTATTCAACTAAACATGAAATATAAGACTTTCTCTTTCCTTTATGTATACGTCTTCCACCACCTCCTACAATTTCTTTCCATCAGATTTTTATCATTAGTACCTAACAGGGCCTTATATAGTATATATAGTATAAAATAATAATTCCACAACTTCATTTATTCCCAATGAGGTATTCCTTTATGAATGAGTAGAACTCCTTTTTAATGTCGTTGGAAATAACTCTCTCTCTCTCTCTCTCTCTCTTGTGTGTGTGTATATGTACGCGCGCGCGCACACACATATATATATATATATACACATTTATCGGGTGGTAAAAAAAGTAGGTTGCCCCATCTCCACTCAATACTTTGTTTTTAATATTTGTTCTTATTTAGTTCACTTTATCATCTCAAAGGTAAAAGGGACACATAACTATATTTATTCCCAGTGAAGAATTCTGTAAACTTCAGCACAACATAACTTGAGTTCCAAGCAACCTTTTATTTATTTATTTTTTTCATCTTTGAAACTAATTCCATTTCAAGAAATATAAATGTCCTCACATGATCTTTTAGGTCTCTTTCTCTCTCTGAATTATTGTGAGTAAGAACAAACAGGTTGTAGGTGGAAACTAAGGACATAAAAAGGGCTACAAAGTGTAAAGAGGAATTCAATTCCTACACACCCCTCAAGAAGAATTGGTTCAAGGGAAAACATGGATGCTTTACAAGAGTCAAATTGCTTTCTGTTTCCTTGTTTCCTTTAGCCCCCTTACTCCGTCTCTCTTCGATCCGTACGATTTATAGGATGACCATAAGAGGAAATCATCAAAGAAAATGACTTGGTGCAATGACTGCAGCTGCAATGAGCCAGTGATCATGACCAGAAAGTCACCATCATCTACTGATCTTAATACACTTAATATCGCAGCCGGAAAAACCAGAGATACCCAAGCTATAACTTGCCCTTCATGTGGTCATCAGATCAAACCATGTCAAGAAAAGGTCTTCACTAACACCATTCTTCTTCTTCTTCTTCTTTTATTTTTATTTTTTAATTTTTTTAGTATTGATTCATGTTATGTCCCTTTTGATTAAAAATAAAAATAGGGTCGAATCCACGATCTGCCAGGACTACCAGCCGGAGTGAAGTTTGATCCGAGTGATAATGAGCTTCTTGAACATTTGGAGGCAAAGGTGCGGTTGGATGCTCATAAGCTTCATCCTCTAATTGATGAGTTCATTCCTACACTTGAAGGAGACAATGGAATTTGCTACACCCACCCAGAGAGGTTACCAGGTGATGATCTTTAACGACCCAACAGTCATTTAATTCCCAATTTTATATGTTTTAGAAATTTAACAACAAATGTGGTTTGTTAATTTGTAAAAATGATTAGGGTTTTGTTATCCAAAAAAAAAATTGATTAGGGTTTGAGATAATTAACAATTAAACCAGACTAACCAGTCTTCTGTGAGTTTAAGGTAATTAACATTTTATAAGTCACTCCAATTTTCTTCATTCATTTTATTGGTCTTGTGTTTATCAATTAATCCAAAGAAGAAAGGAAAACCATTGCATGGTGAATAGATGGTTTCTCAAAAAAATTAAAGTCAAAATAAACCATGCCAAATTTAAATGATGTACGCGCGCATAGTTGATGAACAATGACACAAGATGGACTTTTTAATAATTCAGGGTTCTATATATATATATATATATATATATATGGGGGTAGCTAATTAATGATACCTTAAATTGATCAAGTGCAATTTCAAAAAGTTTTAATTGTCCATATGTTTGGTTGAGAAGAGATGATTTTTTTTGGATGTTAACTCTCAAACTACTAGCCTAGCTCAACATGACGTACTTGATGTTTTTCAGAAGGAACATGACTTGAGGTTGGCAATGCCTCGGTCACATTTGAGAATATATATATATATGCGTCATTGCAGTACTGAAGTTAACCTAGACATGCACAGAATAGGAGGTCCTAGTGTCTATCTTCAAACATACAAAAGAACTATCAGGGTTCAAGTCTCCATGGTCCAAAATTGGTGTGTGAGTTACTTGTCATGATACATAAAAAAGAAAGTTTGTTTAATCATATGAACCAATTCATGTTCCATTTTGATTATCATGCAGGCATAAACAAAGATGGCTTAGTCCGACATTTTTTCCATAGACCTTCGAAAGCATACACCACCGGAACTAGGAAACGAAGAAAAGTACACACTGACATAGATGGAAGCGAAACCCGGTGGCATAAAACCGGCAAGACAAGGCCAGTTTTTGTTAAAGGCAAAGTGAAAGGGTATAAGAAGATACTTGTGCTCTACACCAACTATGGAAAGCAAAGGAAGCCCGAGAAAACAAATTGGGTGATGCATCAGTACCATCTCGGTGACAACGAAGACGAGAGAGATGGAGAGCTAGTGGTTGCAAAGGTTTTCTACCAAACACAACCACGACAATGTAGCTCTAACACGATCAAGGACTCGCCTCCTGCAATGTCAAAGGGGCGAAAAGGCCGGCATGAGAATGGACACACTAGGGATGCCACCATTGTTGAGTACTATGGTCCGTCTCTCATTTCTTTTGAACAACGTGACCATAGTTTTAATTTGCATAATGGGGCTTCTTATGTTCCATGACATGAGAATGTTGAGGAAAATGTTGGGACTTAGCATGCACTGAAACAATGTACAAATGTAACTTCTATTTGTTGTTTAATTAGTAGTGATGAAATAAATTATAACACCCCTAATTTTAGGAGGAATAAGGTGAGGAAGAATAAGGGTTGTCCAATAAATTAAAATTAATTTAATTAAAATCACGCACCATTTGCATGTGTTGTTATGCATGTGTATTATTATCCCTATATTGTATTTGTTACCATGTATATTGTCAGTGTTCATTGGTGGTAGAATTGAATTGCAGGTACATTTGAAATTTGAAATCTCTACTTCTGATTCAAAATTCAAATTCTGAAATTAATTCATTCCAAATCCAAAATCATATCGGTGGAATTGAAATCACAAATAATAGAGCGGTGCTACACATAAATTTAAATTTATTATTTTATCTTGAATTACGTGGTTACTTATTTTTCAGCTTATTTGGGTATTTTGTATGTTTTAAATATAGGAAAGAAAAAAAAAATTGTAACTATCTAAATCCTAATATTTTGTATGATTCAGTAATGACTATAAGAAAAAGTAACAGTCTAGATTTTGGACTCACGTGTTTTGAAGTGATCCTTTTTAGGGATGGCAATTTATGAGAACGGATCCTCTCCAAGGAAAGTCCCTTCCAAGCATATACATGTATTAATCCTAGGCTACTAAGATGCCACATCAATAACTTATTTCACAACTGGATACATTTGGATTAAAACACGTCAAGCCTTATACTTTTCCAACCAACTTTCCTATTGGGGATCAGTTTCCTTCCTACAATTGATTTATTCTCTCAAAACCAGTCAATTTTTCTATCAATCTTTCATAACATGGATCTTTGGAAATTAGAATTATTTTAAAGGTTTCAAATTTGGGAAATACTAATTTTTCTAGAATTTGTGAATAGAAATATAAGTTTGATTAATATATCTTCAATTGTAACAATCAAAGATTGTTGATGTAAAGAAAATCGAAAAAGAAAGTTTCAGGGTAAGAAAATTATTTTAAGGGTTTATGTAGAAATCTCAAATTTGAGCAATACTATTTTTTTTTTTTTTTTTCGAATTTGTGAATAGAAATATATGTTTGATTAATCTTGCAAATCTTCTACTGTAAAAATCAAAGATTGTTGATGGTAGAGAAAATGGAAAAAAAAAAAGTTTAGGAATGGTAAAAAAGTTATTTTAAGGGTTTACGTAAAAATATCAAATTTGGATAATACTAATTTCCTAGAATTTATGAATAGAAAAAGAAAGTTTCAGAATGTTAAAAAAGTGTCGTGTTTTAGTATTTTCAATAGTAAAATAAGTTATTGATGTGACATATTAATACTCGTAGGATTAATACCTGTAGATACTTAGAGAGAACTTTCCTTGACGAAGTTCCGTTCCCGGCAAATTTATACCGCCTCGTTGGGGGCCGTCTTGTTTTGCCGGTTAAATACGAGTAACTATTTTTATATATTAAGGGTGAATACTGGTAAAATATTGTAACTCCTCACGGGGCGAACAGGGTTCTGATAAAGTTCCCCCGGGCCCATTATATATATTTTTATCTATTTTTATAAATATATAGGAGTGTATATATATACACACACACACATTATAACGTAGGGAAAATTATCGTTATCTCCCCTACAGATAGGTCAAATTACGCCTGCATCGCCTCTAATATGAATAATTCGCTTTTCTACCCTTAGTTTTAATAATTTCGCTTACCCCCTAGACATTCCTGTCCGTATGATTACCAACTAATGAAATTACTCTTCTATCCTCATTGTTTTAATGCATATTTAGTCCAAAAAGTATTGACTATAAATTTACTTTTATGCCTATTACACCTTTAGTAATAGAGAGAGAGAGAGAGAGAGTTAGGAATCTTCGTCTTCCTCGTCAATTCTTCTACACAAATAATGAGTGTGAGTACTCAAGCTCCCAAAGATGACCCAGTTGAGAAAAAAATGTTGATTTATAGCTGAAATCAATAACAAATCAAAACCCACTTGCAAAAACCCAAAATTTGACAAACCCAAAATCCAAAATCGATTATTTTCCCACCATGTCAGGTTAAAAATGTAGAGAAATTTGAGTCTTTGTGTTACTTCATTCGGCAGTGTTATTGGTGGTTGCGGTGACGGTGCAAAGATAGTGGTGGTAGGTTTCACTCTGCGTCATGTTCTAGGTCGTCATCGGCCGATTGGAGCTCAAAGCAATGGATACGTTCTTAGTTCTCTCTTGGGTCAATTTGGGGCTTTATATACAGGGCCGGACGTGGGCCTAGGCGGTCGCCTTGGACCTCCAAATTTTGGGGGCCTCAAATACTGGCCCAACCTATATAGTTATACTAGGCCTCAAAATTTGGCCCAAAACAAAAGTTGATCCTACAGAAAAAAATGCTGATACAGAAATAAGAAATGTTGGTCCATAATAGAAATTAAACGTTTAGGTTTATGGGCCCAATTTTGTTCAGTTTGGCTGTCTTTTAGCCACTGAGTTTCTTTACCCATTTTTATGTTTTTCTTTTTTTGAAGGGAAATGATATTTTTGCCGGTGGATCAGAATCATACGTGGCTGGCAAAAAGAATGGGCTTGGGTGTAATCCATTCATCTTCCCCGGTCTCTCTCCTCTCTGTCTAACCTCCCTCGAGTTCCACCTCCATCTTTTGGGTATTCTTTTCCCCCCTCCTCTCTCTCTTTGTATCTCTCCATCTTCATCGGCGTACTGTAGGTGCAAGCAACGGTGGCCGGAATGCCAGATTTCAGCTCAGGGATGTCAAAGATCAATTGACGATGGTGTGGCCCAGGCGGAGCCGGCGGATCACCAGTTTGGGAAGCCGGGTCCGACAGAGGGCAGTGGCAGCGGCATAGAGCAGCGGTGATGATCAACGACGGGTTAACGGCACCGGAAATACGTTGCTGGAGAAGGAGCGCGTGGGCGAGTTAGATCTACTCTCAGGCGCGTGGGCGCAAGTCAGACGACGGCGGTGATGAACTGTGAGGATGTCGCGGTTCCGGCGGTGATGTGGTCGGTCAGGAACGGCGGTGAGCTGAACAGTGAGCAAGGATCGTCCAGCAACGAACGAGGATCAGATCACGGTGGCTGTGATGCCAGACCCGGCGAGGGCTGTGAGAAGTTAGAACCGCCGAGTCGGAGTCGTAGAGCTTGACCCGGTGATAAACCGATTGTGACAAACCGACGGCAATGATGGATTGCAGTGAAGCTGTCCACGTGTGGGACTCTTTTCACCGGTGTGGTCTCTGTTTCTTGGGTTTGTTGTTGATGGGTGTGTTGAGAAGTGGCCGGAGGAGGACTCGCGAGAGTGGAGGCCCACGGAGGAGTGAGAGTGAGGAGTTACGTAACGGGCTCTGCACGTAGTACAGCGGCCGTCGCGGTGGTGAGTAAGGATGTCGGCAGCGGTACTGAACGGCGACCAAGGCTTCATAGTTTCGGTGAGATGACGGGACACGACAATGATGGAGTCCGGCAGTGGTGAGGTCTGGTTTCGCCGAAAGTTGCAGAGGTTTGCCGGCGTTCTTGGCTGTCCTCTTATTCATCGAAAACTTGTTACCATCAGATTCTCGACTCTAAGCAGTCCTTCGTTGTGGTAGGTTGCAGTTCGGCTCAATCTTGTCATCGGGTGTTTTGTTTGCGATATTTGCTGTCAACGCAATGAAGCCAAATATGATTAATTTATGCCAGCTGGACCGCCACATCATTTATGCCTAGTAAATTGTCAGACATTTCTGCCTGAGTATCACGAATCAAGAAAAAAAATGAAAAAACGAATTGTGTTCTAGGGCTCCTGTCGCTCCTTGATGGCTCGAAGTCGAAGGATAAGATTTGGGTTTGTGTTTGGTAGATTAGCTTCAGTTTCATCAGGAGCAGCGCCAAAAAGATTACAAGTAGCTCATCCAATAATTCCAATTTATGGTACTGGTTCCTTTTTCGCTTTTTCCAATTTGAAATTGATATATTTTTTTTCCTTTATTCAGCGTGTTTATGGAATCTTTTATCTCCTTTTTTTATCAATTTGAATCTAATTTCATTGGTCTGGTTGATTATTGAATTTTGAAAATTTATGGGATGCTTGAAATAGAAGATTTACCCCTTAGAGGTTAGAACAAAAAAGGCTGGATAAATTGGATAATCAAAGTGGAATTATAGTTGGCCACTTGTTATGCCACATAGTGTATTGCTTGAAATCATGCAGGTTACAAGGCAATCAATCTGGCTTCATTTATATTAATTCTTTCTTTTCAAGGAATGTTGATTGAACCCTGCCTTAAATGATTTTGCAGAGAAAACTAAGAAAGGGCTGTCATATATATGAAGAGAATTTAAGTCATGCCTAATATTCCAAGAAAGAACTATGAATTGAAGATTGTGTTAATAATTCGAGGTTTTTTCAAGGTGGGTATGTCTTCTATGATGCATGTGTAAGTGAAAGAAAGAGTTAAGAGTACTAGTGTGAATTGGGTGTTTAATATTAAATAGTAAGTGAGATTGTTTGCTTTGCTTTTGACAAAGTTCTACATCTGTATAAGAGGTTAGAGTTTGTCTTGTTTAGAGCTGTTGAGTTGTATGGGATTATGGATTTAATTGATAACTAGTAACATCTATATATGGAGGTCTGATGAGCTGCAGAGAGGTGTTAATGAAGTTTAGAGGGAGTAAGTGACAGAGATGGAACATGGGGGCATTGGATGACCTTTGTATATATATATATATATATATGCTACTGCGATGACTACTTAATATGTATGTGTGTGTGTGTGTGTGTGTGTGTGTGTATTTCATAGACTTTCTCAGAAGCTCCACTTCCGATAACATTAGCTTCATCAAGGCAATTGAGAATTTCAAATTCAGTAAATCCCAATTTAGAATGATCTCCACTTCGATATTGTGACTCATTTCTTCATCTTCTTGATGTGACCGTATTTCCACACAAACCAACAAAAACTATGCTGCTAAGTATATAAATTGATCTTAGTATCCACAAGTAGCCTTGATATTTGCCTCAACCAAACCGCACAATCACCACACAAGCCTGGATTTAAAGCTATCCTTATAAAATAATCACAGCATAAAGAGGAGGAATATCCCCCAAAAACTAATCATTAGACAAATTTAGCCTATTAAGCTTCAAATTCTGCAACTCAAGTGGTATTTCCAGGAACAGTAATTCTCGGAAAGATCAAGATAAGTATGAACAGGCAAACTACCAATTGTAATCGGGGTGTTGCCTGATAACTTATTTTTGTTTTTCTTGACTATAACTTAAGTTAAATATTTTTTGACATTGAATGTTTGAGACGGGCTAAAGTTTATATAGACACACATGTATAAATCACCTAACATTTACTTATTTATTTATTCTTGTATGTTGTGCTAATAGCTGGCCAAGAAGGGTAATAACTTGAAGAATACGGGAATTCAAAAAGGATAAAAGAATTTTCAAAAATAAAGCAACAAATAACTATAAATTTGTATCAATAATATTAGAGTTGTTAGATTATTAATATATATATATATATATATATATATTAATTATTGGTATTATAGCTTAGTAAGATTTATAAGCATTGCACGTGCTCTTTTACTAGAGAGTGTGTGTATATATATGTTTGTGTGTATAAACTGAGTTCTAATCCAATTAGGTGAGAACTAGGTTATCATTTTCGTCCTTTTTTTCCTATCCACATGGTGTTATGTCGTGATAAATTGTTATAGTTACTAGATTTGTTAACTTTAGGAAGTTAGGTTAAGAAGCCAAATCTCTCTCTCTCTCAATTTGTATGTTATAAATTTTATTTTAAAATATCAAATTAAATCATAGCCCTTTATTATTCCATCTAATGGTTGGATAGTTGAGTATATATAGTTGTTAACACTTGAGGAGGCAAAGGGAACCCAAGAAAATAATTGGGGATCCAATTGTAAAGATGTTCAATCGATTCCATAATCCCACATCGTGCGTTGCCGTCGCGGCATCCGTCATCTATACTCTATTTTTCTCATATCTATCTATTGGGGTTTTGATTGCACTCATCTATACCCAATTGTAAAGATGATGAAGGAGAAGGGGTCGGAGTGTGCGATATGCATGGGAGAGTATGAATCTGGAGATTCCATGAATTGTAGTAGTGAACCAATTCATCGTATTGGTTGAAACATTGACATGCACCATTCCAGGTAGAGACTCACAACTCATCGTCAAGTGAGATGTTAAGAACATGTATGTTACTATTGGCTAAGAATGGTTTGGAGTGATCACATATTATCAAGAAGGACTCGTTTATGCAACAACTTTTGAATGTGCTGAACGGGTAAGAAATGGTAAGATTGCCACATCAGTGGTGGCAACCGGGCTTGGCAAGAATTGTTGAGGGAGTTGCTACACTTCCTGCTAACTCCACCACTAAGAACAACATTAGCAGTAAAAATTTAGGAAACTTCGTTGTTTTTGCTCCCTTCTCTAGTGTGATGTATTAACTACATTTATATGTGGTTGGGTATTTTTGTTGAAGAGACACAGATGGAGTAAGTCTTCCATGAGTCTTTTTCTTCTCCCAGACATTGCGTTTTTCTTCCCATGGCAAATTTGGAAGCTGTGTTTTTTTCTTCCTATTACTAATTATCCAAAAATTGGAAGCTATAATGAAGTTGTGGGTCGATATATAAGTCCACGTATTTGAAAACAAGAAAATAATAAAAATGAAATTTGGAAACTCTGAAATTTTCTTTATTTTTCTCTGTACTAGCCACGTGGAGCCACAAAGAAAAATATAAAAAAAAAGGGTGTTGCAGCTAATGGATCTTCAGCTCTAGATATGTTCTATTTTTTTGGTTTTTTTTTTTTTTTTTTGGCTCTAAATCGTTTATGGTAACGTTCATGGCCAGTACAGAGAAAAGTAAAGAAAATTTCATTATTTTAAATTTTTTGATATAAAGAGTTTCCAAATTTCATTTTACTTATTTTCTGGTTTTCAAATACGCGGACTTATAGATTGACCCACAGCTTCATTAGAGCTTACAATTGTTCCATAATTAGTAGTAGGAAGAAAAAAACAAAGCTTCCAATTTTGGCAGAAGAAGAAGACTCACGGAAGGAAGACTTATGCGGTCTGTGTCTCTTCATCAAAATTACCCAACCACATATAAATGTAGCTAATACCTTACATTAGAGGAGGGAGCAGAAACAATGAGGTTTCCTAAATTTTTACTTCTAATGTTCTTAGTGGTGGAGTTAGCAGGAAGTGTAGCAACTCCCTCAACAACTCTTGCCAAGCCTGGTTATCTCTGCTGCTATGGCCACCTTACCATTTCTTACCCGTTGGGCACACGCAAGAGTTGTTGCCTAAATGAGGCCTTTCCTGATAATATGTACTCCAAACCATTCTTAGCCAATAAACACGTACGTGTTCTTAGCATTTTTCTTGACGGTGAGTTGCGAGTCTCTACCTAGGATGGTGCATGTCAATGCTTCAACCAATCCGATGAATTGGTTGACTACTACAATTCATGGAAGCTCCAGAGTTTCTTCATTTCCTTTTATAAAAAAGATCATAGGGGTAGGTTGTAACTCATGCATTATCAATCACATTAGAGCCTGGGCTTATAATTGGTTTCATATCACAATGTGCCAATAATACTGTTGCGGTCAGTAATTTGAGTCCCGGCATAGGTTTTTGTCAAACATCTATTCCCCAGGAAGTAAGAAATCTTTACTAAGACAGTGTACAGGGATTCTCCTTTCTCCTACCATCAATCCATGTCCCTTTGCGTTTCTTGCTGAAGAGGCAGTTATATATTCTCCTCACGTCATATTTTTTTAGGATTTGTGTCTCAAATTTTTTCAACTTTTAAATTTCCTTTTTGAGTCGTATTTTGTATGATAATTTATTATTTGGCAAGTCTTGGGCTCTAAGGAAATTCTTGTAAGGAAAATATTGGGCTCTAAAAAATTATGTTTGAGACTATAAATAGAGAGGGAGTTGTATGGAGAAGGTAGAGAAGAAAAAAGAATGGAATGTGTGAGTGAGTGGGGAGAGAAGAGAGTGGGTGAGAGTAGGGAGATGCCTCAAAAGAGTTTGGGCATTCTCTACAGTTGTATATTCTCTCCTTGATTCATAATAGTGAAATTTCTTCTCTCCCTAGTTTTGGGTGAACCACGTAAAATGTCGTGTTTTGTTTGTGTGATTGTTTGTGTCATGCTTCCACTATGCCAAACGAAGGGGATTTAATTCCTGACATATTTTATTGTTTGACACCAGCATGGTCAAACGGGATTTGCCGGTTACATGTGGGCAGAATAGCATATGTTATAACTCTGATAATGGTCCAGGTTGTCTCTGCAAATGCCCTCAAGGTTACCAGGTAAACCACTACCTTCCAAATGGTTGGTAGGCTAAATTATATTTGTGTACAATAATACTACTATTATATATTACAAATTTGTGCCCCTCTTCCTGTCTCTTAGTTTCTTTTTTGCAAGTGTTCATGTTTAAAAATTTTCAATATTTTTTTCTCAATTGTTCACAAATATTGACGAGTGCTTGAATAAACTTGACAGTTGCCCAGATATTTGCATCAACACAAATGGGAGTTTTAATTTCTTGCCCAATGGGATATATCAGGGATGGCATAACAAGCCAGGGTTGCAAAATTCCAGCTGATCAATCAATATGGCCAAAGGTTATTGTTGGTAGGTACATAGGTGATTTTTAGAATAGTAGTGATAAGGAGTCCAATGGCCAAAGGTTACTTTGCCATTAGGGATTTTTACTCATTGATACAATTTATTTCTCAATTAATTTTTTTTTCATTACTTATTACGCAAATTCTGTCAGATTAGATGCCTAATAGTTCATTTATTTTATTTTAGATAAGTATTTTAAATTAATCCTTGGAGGGATTGTTTGAATCACCCCGATCTTGTCCTAACCCATTCCATTTAAAAAGCCTGTAGTACAAACTAGATTTTGGAATACTAGCTGGGGTGGTGAGCAATGTCTCCTTGGTGGCTTTCCTTTCTTCCACTACTTTTCATGGTCCCCATTTTAGAGAGTATCACACTCTAAATTCTTGCAAAAGCACTGTTATGGAGCACATTTTGCAACCATTTATGTTTCTCTACTTTTTTCCCCTTGCATCTACAAGGAATTTGAAAATCATTTTTTATTTTTGAAAATTGCATATAATTTTAAGGTATACATCTGTGGCTGTTTTTTTTTTTTTTTCTCTCCCCCCAGCTTTCTAGAAGTTTAGTAAAAATAAAATTTCAAACAGTGCTTTTATATTTTTAATTTTTTTTTCCACAAAAAAATTTAAGTTAGACTTAACTTGATGAACTTCTTAAAGAGGATCTGTATAACGGCCTACTACTGTGCTTCAGTACAGAGTTTGTTAATTAAAATGCCAAGAGCTTGATGAATTTTGTTTTGAATTAATTTGACTGTAGGCATTGGCATAACAATTTTGGCATTACTTGTGGGATGTCCTTTGTTATATTGGTTGGGGTTTCAAGAGAAGAAAACTCCTCCAACTTGGAGCAAAGTATTTTTAGCAAAATGGTGGTTTGATGTTACAGCAACAACTCTCAAAACTTTATGGTTCAGCGCAGACGACCAAAATCTTTACCGTAGAAGAGGTGAAGAAGGCAACCAATGATGTCAATGAAAGTGGGATTGTCTGTTGAGGAGGCTTTGGTACAACTTACAAAGGAGTTTTAGCATAAAACTAAATAGGGGTAGGAGTTTGCATATGCTATCATCATCAAAAGATCCCACGCTTATAGTTGGTTGTGTGTCACGATGTGACAATAATACTTTTGCGGTCAGTAATTCGAGCTATGGCATAGGTTTTTGCCAAACATCAATTCCCCAAGGAGTAAGAGATCTTACTTTGACATTTTACAGGTATTGGGAAATAAACTATACGCCGGTGTTGGGATTCAATCCATGTAGCTTCGCATTTCTTGCTGGAGAGGCTAGTTATATATTCTCCTCACATCATGTTTTATAGTCTGACACCAGCACGGTCAAATGGAACTTGCCGGTTGTGCATGATTGGGCTGTTGGCTCTGGGACTTATTATTCTCACATCGTGACACACAACCAACTATAAGCGTGGAAATCTTTTGATGATGATAACATATGCAAACACCTACCCCTATTTAGTTTTATGCTAAAACTCCTTTGTAAGTTGTACCAAAGCCTCCTCAACTGACGATCCCAATTTCATTGGTTGCCTTCTTCACCTCTTCTATGGTAAAGATTTTGGTTGTCAGAGCTGAACTATCAAATTTTGAGAGTTGTTGCTGTAACATGAAACTACAATTTTGCTAAAAAATACTTTGCTCCAAGTTGGATGAGTTTTCTTCTCTTGAAACCCCGGCCAATATAACAAAGGACATCCCACAAATAATGCCAACGCCTATAATAAAATTAATTCAAAACTAAATTCCTCAAGCTCTTGGCCTTTTAATTAATTCACTCTGTTCTGAATTGCTTCGTAGAGTCACCACGGGAGAGGATCAACATGGAAGATGCTCTGACTACACTAAAAAAATATCAAACACACGTTTCTTGCAAGTTGGGAAAAGCTAGAAACATGAAGGTATCTGTTTTATGTTACTTCTAGTTGTGTATCGAATTTTAAAAATTTTGTGCCACTAGTATAAAGTTTGATATGATGTATGTCGAAGAATGTCTATATTAAGGAATCAAGGATAATAAGTATATATATATATGTTATGGGCTGATAGTGTGATTTTATTGTAACAGATATATATATATGTTATGGGCTGATAGTGTGATTTTATTGTAACAGATTGCATTGCTTTGAGAGATGGAACTATTTGTAGCTCCTATGCTTCATGAAATCAGAACTATTTCTCAAAGGAAGGTGGAGGCACATATATTTTGGGTCATTTTGATTAGAAAATATATATATGGTGTGTATATATATATATATATGGTGTTGTCTGTCAGACTGTTGGCTTGATTGTCCTTAGGATCTTATGGTCATGTATTGCTTCAGCTCTGTATACCCTTTATATATATATATATATATATATAGCTAGCAGTGTGTTGCATGTATGTTTTCATGGTATCTGTACATCATGCTTGGGTGAATTACCCTCACCTTCCCTGAGGTTTGCACTTTTTGCCTGTAGATGAAAGTTTTGAAATAATAGAAGTCAATTTGATGAAAGTATTTGTCAACACCACTCTGTTAAAGGTTTGGTAGTGTTATTAAGGATTTTTATTATTATTATTTTTTTGATAAGTTATTATTAAGGATTTTTATTTGAATACCAAAAATGCCCTTCAATAATTTGTGTGTACTTTTGTTTGTTAATTTTATTTCATTAAATATATAATTAATACAGTATACATACAACACATTATTTATGCTTATTATAAAAAATATATATGCACACATGTAAATCATATGGAATTATGGACCACCAACACCACCACCATCCTATCTCCTCCACCACCGGTTCACCACCTTCGCCTGCCACCACCCCTTACCTCAATCTCTTCTCTCGGTTCTTTCTTCGCCACCATCAATTCATCCCCACAACCCACTCCACCACCAGCTCTACTTTTCCCTCTTGATTGTGAAGATATGCTGCTTGTTGGAGACCATGTTAACGAAGCATCGAGAAGAAGTCCTGGGACGAGAATAGGAGATGCAAGAAGCTTTGGGACCCAAGAGCTCATAGTCGAAGCCAAGAGGGACCTTGACGGGATTGGAGGGGTCCCATTCCACCATTTTATGTCTCTATAACACCATAAATTTTCAACCTATTTGGTTAAGTTTGGGAGTTGCGGTGTTTGGTGAGTAGTATGGCGCAGTTGAGGAATTGGAGGGTGGATCGATGGTCTAGTGAGGGATTAGAGGGTTGATTGATGGTCTTGGTTGATGGGATTGGAGGGTTTTTGTGTTTGGGTGACAATTTGGTGAAGGGATGGAAGTAATCGGAAAAAATGGTAGATGTTGTTGAAATTGGAGATCTGGTATTTGAAAATCCAATACGGGTAAATCTAGGTCGGAGTGGTTGAATAGTTCCGAGATGGCCCTCCCCATATGTACTGTAAAAGGTTCGAGCTGCTCTTGTTCTTTTTTCCGCAGTACGGTTTTAGCTGACGTTGCTCCCTCTGTCTGTGTGTTTGGTTGTCTGTGTGAGAGGAGATGGGTAGTGGTGACAGACTGACGGTGGAGATGGTGGTGGTGGTTGCGGCGGTGGATTACTGTGTTGTGATGTGAATTATGATAGGGTGAGTGGGGGGGAGAAGGAGAGGGGTAATGCTAAGGGAGGAGGGAGGGGTAGGGGGGTGAAGGGGATAATTGTTTCCTCATGAAGTTTCGAATTTTATCGTGGAATGTCCGCGGTCTGAACGATCCGGGCAAGCGCAGGGTGGTGAAGATGGCAGTGAGGAAATGGGGGGTGCACTTGGTGTGTCTTCAAGAAACAAAGATTGATTCTTTGTCTGATCGTGTGGTGAAAAGTCTGTGGGGCAACCGCTTTGTTGAATGGGAGGCGTTGGATGCTGTTGGGACTTCAGGAGGTGTTCTTATTATGTGGGATAGGAGATGGCTGACTAAAGTTGATGTTTGCAGAGGGAGATTTTCTTTATCTTGTGCTTTTGTGATGGAGGAGGATGGCTTCACTTGGGGTTTTTCTAGGGTGTATGGGTCGATTGATGATGTTGTGAGGGATGGTTTGTGGGAGGAGTTGAGTGGGGTGAAGGGGAGGTGGTCTCTTCCTTGGTGTATGGCAGGAGACTTTAATGTGGTTAGATGCCCGGCGGAGAGGTCTACAGTTGGCCCGTGGACTCAGGCTATGATGCACTTTTCTGATTTTATTGATGGCCACCAGCTTATTGATCTCCCTCTTGAGGGAGCTTCCTTTACTTGGTCCAGTGGAAGGGAAGTTCCAACTTTCTCTCGCATTGATAGATTTTTTATTTCAAGTGAATGGGAGGAGAAATTCCCGGATGTTGTTCAGGCAGTTTTGGCTAGGGTGACGTTGGATCACATTCCCTTGGTTTTGGACTGTGGAGGTTTGAGATCTCGCAGTACTCCTTTCAGATTTGAGAACATGTGGCTTCGTGCGGATAACTTCCAGGAATTTGTCCATTCTTGGTGGGAGGAGAATCTGGTGGTGGGTACATCGAGCCATATTCTTGCTGGAAAGCTTCGAATCCTGAAAACAAATCTTAAAAGGTGGAATAAGGAGGTGTTTGGGAGCTTGGTGTGAAGGAAGAATAGGGCTTTGGCTGATATTGCGGAGATTGATCGATTGGAAGGGGAGGGTGTTATTACGGAATCGCAACGCAGTAGAAGAGCAGCTTGCCAGGCAAAATGTGTGGAGATTGCTCTTTTGGAGGAAATCTCGTGGCGTCAGAAATCTTGGGCATTATGGCTCAAAGAGGGGGATCGTAATACGAAGTTTTTTCACAGAACTGCTAATGCTAATAGGAGGAGTAATCATATTAGGCGGATGTGTGTGGATGGTGCAGTTTTGTCTTCGGAGGAGGAGGTGCGAAGTGCTATTGTCTCTTTCTATCAAAGACTTTATTCTGAGCCTCTTCGTTGGAGACCTCGTCTAGATGGTCTTCACTTCGATTCTATTTCTGCCTTGGAGAGAGATGGGCTGGAAAATCCTTTTTCAGAGGAGGAAGTGCTGAAGGCTTTAAAGAGTTGCAATGGTGATAAGGCTCCAGGTCCTGATGGTTTCACGATGAGATTTTTGTTGGAAAGCTGGGAGGTGGTCCGGTACGAGATTATAGGCACTTTTCATGAGTTCCATTCCACGGGGCGATTTGAGAAATCGCTTAACGCATCTTTTATTGCCCTTATTCCTAAAAAGGGTGGTGCTTCTAATATCAAGGATTTTAGACCTATTAGTCTGATCAGGTGCATTTACAAGATCATTGCAAAAGTCCTTGCCTTTAGATTGAGGGAGGTCCTGGATGGAGTTATCTTTGAGTCTCAGAATGCTTTCGTTGGGGGTAGACAGATTCTGGATTCCGCTCTTATTGCTAGCGAATGTGTGGATTCTAGACTTCGTAGTGGGACTCCTGCAAGCTGGATATTGAGAAAGCCTATGATCATGTTTGCTGGAATTTCCTGTTCTATCTGTTGGAGAGGATGGGTTTTGGTGAGAGATGGAGGAAGTGGATTGTTTCTTGTGTTTCCACTGTCAGGTTTTCGGTGTTGGTGAATGGCTCTCCTTCGGGGTTCTTTGGCAGTTCTCGTGGGTTGAGACAGGGGGATCCTCTCTCCCCTTTTCTTTTTATTATTGTTATGGAGGCCCTTAGCAGGCTAATGAGAAGGGCAGTGGATTTGGGTTTTCTTAGGGGTTTTAAGATTGGCCCTGAATCAGTTTAGCAGTTGGAGATCTCTCATTTACTTTTTGCGGATGACACTATTGTTTTTTGTGAGGCTGATGTATCCCAGTTGAGGTATCTGAGATGTGTTTTGGTTTGTTTCCAGGCTGTTTCTGGTTTGAAAGTAAACGTGGGAAAGAGTGTGATTGTTCCTGTGGGGGAGGTTCAAGAGGTGGACACTCTGGCTGCTGTTCTAGGGTGTGGGACGCAACGCTTTCCTATCTCGTACTTGGGTTTGCCGCTGGGGGACTCGGCTAGGAGGGTGGGAAGTTGGAACCCGGTGATTGAGCGGGTCGAGAGAAGATTAGCGGGTTGGAAAAAACAATATCTGTCAAAGGGCGGTAAAGTTACGTTAGTGAAGAGCACTTTGTTAAGCCTTCCAACGTACTTTCTTTCGCTTTTTCGTATTCCAGACTCTATTGTTGGAAGACTAGAAATGCTCCGCGGGGGGGGGGGGGGGGGTCGCGGAGAAGAGTTTAAGTATCATCTTGTCAAATGAGAACAGGTTTGCAGGCCTATTCGGTTGGGAGGGCTTGGAATTAGGAGATTGGCCCTTTTCAATTGTGCTCTTCTTGGTAAGTGGCTTTGGAGATTTGGTAAGGAAAGACATAGATTATGGAGAAGGGTTATCTCATGTCGCTTTGGGGAGGAGAGAGGAGGGTGGTCAGTTAGACCAGTCAGGTCTGTTAGCGGAGTGGGGGTGTGGAGGGCCATTGGTAAGGGGTGGGATGCCTTTTCCAAACATATTAGATTCAGAGTTCGGGATGGAAGAACTGTCCGGTTTTGGGAGGATCCATGGTGTGATGATAGGCTTTTGGCCCTATTGTTTCTCAGGCTTTTCAGGATTGCTGTTGACAAACATGCTATGGTTGCTGACTACTATCACCTTGATAGTGGAAGGTTGTATTGGGATGTGCGTTTCCGGCGAGCTTTTCAGGATTGGGAGTTGGATGATGTCACTGGGTTTTTGGCTCTCCTTTACGGACAGGAGGTGGAGGGGTCTGGGGCAGATTCCTTGATTTGGGTGCCTTCTTCTTAGGGGATGTTCCAGTTCCGGTCCTTTTTTGTGTGCCTTTCTGGTTTTCATGGTACCTCATTCCCATGGAAGACGGTGTGGAGGTCTAAGGTGCCTCTTAGGGTGGCCTTTTTTACGTGGACTGCAGCTTGGAGTAAGATTTTGACTTTGGACAATTTGAGGAAGCGAAGGCATAGGTGTTGTCTTTGCAAGATTAATGGGGAGTCGGTGGATCATCTTTTGCTACACTGTCCTGTGGCTCATAATTGTTGGAGTTTGATGTTTGGCCTGTTTGGTATTCATTGGGTCATGCCTCGGTCATCTTGGGAGTCGTTAGATATGTGGAGGGGCCAATGGGTGGGGGCTCAGGCCAGAGTTTTTTGGAGAGTGACCCCTTTTTGTATTTGGTGGAGCCTTTGGAGAGAGCGTAATGGAAGATCTTTTGAGGGAAAGGAATCCTCCATTGGGGTGTTAAAATTTTCTATCATTTGTAATTTGTTTTGTTGGGGTCAGGGGAGAGACTACTCTTCTCTTGAGGATATTGTTGATTTTATGAACTCTTTGAGTTCATAGGCTCCGTTTTGTCTTTGTATAGTTTGGGACGCGTTCCCCTTTTGAACGCTTTTAATACAATTTACTTATCAAATATATATATATATATATATATATATATTACTATAATCTAGTATATTTTATTAAATTTGTATTTAATATTTAATAATTTTTTGCTTATGTCAGCATTGAGGTAATTGAAATATAAATTATTAAAAGTGAGGGTGAGGGTATTTTTGTACTTTTATAATAAACTTTGACGGTGTTAAGAAATCCAACTCTGATATGGGGTGTTAGAGTGATTTTTTTTAAAGTTTCATCTACAAGTAATAAGTCCAAAACTCAGGGGAGGTCAGGGTAATTCACCCTAATACTTTTGATTAATGGATTTCTTGTCTTCTTAAGTATTAATTATTTTACCTCCTTGTGGTCCCCGTGGTTTTAGTGTATGATTTAGTTCTTAATATAATTTAAATTCTTAATTGAATTTTCAAATAAAAAATAAAATGAACAAGCCAAAATTTTGTAGAAAAAACTTATTGGTTGCAACCTTCCTCATAAAAATGTTGCAATGCATCTCACTAGAAATGTGTCCAATAGACTACTACTTAAGGTGCAATTAAGGCCCTGTTTGGTAGGTGATTTGCTTTTGATGTTTTTGTTGCAGGCCCGCACAGTAACCCAAAAGTGGTCCAAAGCATGTTTGGTTGGTTATGTTTTGTTTGAACAATTGTAAAACATTTCAATAAAAAGGCTCAAAACTTGAAACACCAAAATGGTGTTTTAAGTTGTTTCAGCATTGTTTGGCCCACTCATGCACTGTAGCAGAGGAAGCATTTGAGCCAAACTTATAACACTCTATTACAGGTATAAAGAGGACACTTTAAAACATTTTAGGTCATTTTGCACCCCAACTTTCTCTCTCCTCCATCGATGCTCTTTGTGGCGATTCGACTATAGTGCTTGGGTTCCTAAAAACTTCGATCGATTCAAGCTTTTTTTGCTTAAAACCGCCACCGATCTGAAGCTCTTTGCACTTTTTTTCGAAGAAGAAGCCAGGTTTGACCCATTTGGTTTAACTTTGTTCAATTAAGTTCAATGTATCGACTGTTTTTCAGGTTTTTGGTTGGAAATCCATAGATGGTGTGTAATATTTTTTGATTTTGGAGTTGTTTTAAAACTTTTTTTATTTTTCTAGAAAACCCTAGTTTTTCTTTCTGTTTTATGAAAGATCGAACAAAAAACTCTTCTATATTGTATGATTTGAGCTTATATTTGAAGGGGAAACCAATATTTATGGAAACTTCAAAATTTTCTTTCGGTTTCGTACAAATATGTACGAAAAATGAACAAGCGTGGTTTAATGGACATGGATCTAACAATAGGGATTTGTTTTTCCTATGTTTTCTCTACGTATTACAAAGGATTTCTTTTTCTTTTACCATTTTATTTTGCATTACACTTTGATCATAATAAGATAAGCTTTTGTATTAATTTTAAGGGTTAATTATGACAACATCCCCTGAGGTTTGTCATATTGTCAGCCATATAGAACTTAGTCATTTTTTTATCAAAGACACTCCCTGTGAGAATTTTGTTCCAAACAAGCCCTTAAAACATTCTAAAAGATGACATTGCCTTTCAATGTTTAATTCATTTTTATGATAAAATATCATAACTCATGAAAAATCAACTTTGCTCTTATATATATACACTATTATATCTGACCACCGACCATCCCTACACCACCGTAACTTCCACACTTCCACAATCTCACGGCCTCCTTCCTCCCTATTCTTCAATCACCATCACCTAATCCAAGACAACCTAAGAAAAACCCACCCATTCGATTTCACCCAAACCATTCATCACTCACTACTTAGGGTTTCCAATAAAAACCCTCTCCTTATCTTTTAGAAGCATAATCGATGGTGAACTGTGGCGGTGAGCGACGATTGGTTGGAATAGGCTATGGACGGTTCGCGGTAGAGAGCATGGAACAACGATGGACGAGAGGCGGGACAGTGATGGGCTCAGTACGGTTGTGGGGAAGTCGGCTGATTTGGCCATGAGTTACTCGTGGCGGTGAGCTTGGGGCTTCACTCGGAATGGTGAGGTCGGCTGAGATGGAGCGACGCTAGCGGACTGTGTTCGCGGCTGTGATGAATTGATCGGCTGTGATGGACGGCGGATCAGCCGATAGAGGGCTCGGCCGTGAGAGGAACTGTGGCGTGGAACCGAGGGGCAAGAATCGGCTGGCTAGCTTCACCGGTTTTAACCAAAGCGACGGAAAGCTTAGAACAGAGGACTCAGCTGTGATGCGGCGGCTGATGGCGAGCTTGTGGCTTCGGATGATGGTGGTGGCGAGCTCAACAGTGGAGGAGCCGGTCGTGATGGGCGATGGCAAGGAGCTCGGATTCTGGCAAGCAAATTAAGACTGCCAGAGAGGAAGATTTGGTGACGGCGGAACAGCGGTGCAGAGAAGAGTCCGGTGAGGAGGAAGACGCTGAGGATGTTATGTCCGGTGAGCAAAGACGGCAAGAATCCTTGAACATTAGTTGTAGGTTCTGTGCATCGTGGGTGTGATAGGGTGGTGGTGGGTTCCGAGTCAATCAAGACAATCTTGCGTCACAACATTTAGGAGTGGATGGTGGTGACTGTTGGTTTGGTTTATTAGTAGGGTATTTTGGTCAATAAAAAAGAATTGTATTGGATAAAATGGTAATTGAATATATCAAGGGACAATAATGTCAATTCACCAGCATTGGGGTATCTTTGTTAGTTTTATCAAACCTAAGGGGGTGTCTTTGTTAAAAAAATGACTAAGTTGTATATGGCTGTCAATATGGCAAATCTCAGGGGGTGTCGTTGTAATTAACCCTAATTCTAATTATCTTTTGGAAAATAAATTTTTCATTTTGGTTAGTCACTGAATCCTTTAATTCTTGGAAAGGAGTTTATATATATATATATATATATATATTTTATAAAAAGTAAATTCACAATTTTTTTTTAATTGGAAGGATGAGGGAAAAACAACTTTCTAGTAATTATGACATCTCATTTGGAGTAGTTTTGTGATTTTGTCTAATGAGAAAGGGATGGTTTCATGGTGGTATATGAATTATAACACTGATAAATCATCTTTGCTTCAATAAATTAGTAGATTTTCTGCTAAATTTATATTCCAACAATGAAAATTTTTAACTTAAATTTAAATAATATAATCTGGTCAATTTGGAAAATAAGAAATAGTGATAAGGAATAAGGAGAAAGTATTGGACACTCGATATTTTCCCAACAATAAGGAGAAAGTATTGGTCAATTTGCTGGACTCTTGTGGAGTTTCATTATAAGTTGTTGGTGTGTTATAAATTTGTTGTTGGGTGCTTTAAGCTGGATGAGAGCAAGATTGTTTATTTCAAGGAAAGGGCCTGCAATAGTTGGTGTTGTGCTGACACAGTTTTAAGTTAGTTTTGTTTGAGGTTTTGATATTAGGTTTATTATTGTGAGAGTTTTTTTTTGTTGGTGGTCGATTTTTTCCCTGTGCTTTTTGAGTATTGTCCTTGTTGGCTGTGTTGGTTTGATTGTGTTTTTGTGTTGTTTTGTTTTGTTGGTGGAGAGGTATGCCTCCTTGAATGTTGTACTCACAGTTTGTGATTTAGGAATAAAAATCAAGCTTGCTTCTTGAAAAACAAAAAAAGAATAGTTAATCCGCTGGTCTTATCTTTTATTTTATTTTTTTATTTATTTAAAATCTGGGAAAGTTTATTTTTTTTCTCATTATGGATTGGTGGCATTGGAGCTTTTTTTATGCTGGGGAATGTCTCTTGAATACTTGTTTTAATTTGTTAATGAAGGTCTAATTACCTAAAAAAAAGTATCTATAATTATTCCGTCTTTGTTAGGCAAAAAGTGTTGGTGCACTCGTTAATCTCTGCAAAGAACTTTTGAGCCAAGTATTTCACAAAGTTGATATGAACTTTTTAAATCATCTATTTCTGGATGTCTTCATGCCCAGATAATTCTGTTTGCTGCCAGAGTTATTCACTAACTATGAGTTTATTTTGACTTTCTTCTTCCTTTTTTATTTCGATACGTGTTTAGATAAATATGTGGTTTGGGCATATCAATTGTGGTTGACTGTTTGAGAGTGGTGGGTGTTGTCACTACTCTAATTGGTGGCTGAGTTTGGTTGTTGCTATCACATTTTCATTTTTTTATGCTCAATTCAGATTCATACGAGGTTGGGGTCACTGCTTGCTGCTAAAGCCCGTTTTGTTTCTAAATTTTTGTTGGTATCGATGTTGATGGTCACTGGAAAATGAGGAATTTAGGGTGGAGGATACTCCTAGGGGTTGGTACTATATTGTCAGAGTATAAAAAAAAAGGTGAGCACGTCATTTTTCTGCTCAATTACTTTTAATAAATTTTCCTCCCGTTACTGCATTTTGCTAATGTGTCTTTTTGTTTCTAATTTTCAAGGGAATTCATGTTGATGATGATTGGAATATTCCAAGTATTATTTGGATTATGTTATGTGTGTTTGGTGCTATAATGGGTCATTGTTGCCGTTTGGAGTGGACTTCCAATTGTGACTACGTTGCTGTTTGCAAAATTTGGAACCTATCGGACTAGTGCTTTCTTCAGTAATGGTAGACTTAAAAGGGACTACTCTTAGGGCTTGGTTGTTTTTCATGGTGTAAGATTTTAGAAAGCACTTGGAAGTATAGTAAGAAATTTTTTTCCAATTTTACCTTCGGTAAAGAATACAATTCAAGAGCTGTGAGGGATGAAACATCATTATGTAAAAAATTTGGATTGTTGTTTATTATATATGCAGGTTGTATATTGTGCTATTAAATGTATTTCAATGGAATGGATGGTTTAGTTGAGTTGAATTGAATTAGCTATCTGTTTTTTTTTTCAAAGAAAACTTATAGGATGAAAAAATTTCTGTAAAAAATTCTAAGCAATGAAGTCAAACCAGGTTCATGGAAAGCAAAAGATGTGTTGAGGTTTGCTAATCATAATAATACAAATACATAAAGCAAAGAAAAGGAGTTCTCTAGAACCATGGATAATGGAGAAACTAAAGGTAAATCAAATTATAGGTACTCATATCTAATCTTGTTTATACCTAATCCTGTTTAATTGTGGCTATTTTCATATAAATTGATGTAAATCAAGGGGTTGTTTGGTAATGTTTTTATTTCTTGTTTCTAAAAGGCCAAAAAAACAGAAATAGGTAAGATATGTTTGGTAAGGATATTTCTGTAGAAGAAGAAGAAGTTGTTTTCACTTGTTTCTAATCAAAACACAAACATATTCTTGACGTATTCCCAACCTATATGTTTCTTATTCACGACTCTAATCTCAAGAAGTCTTTTCATCACTCACGCACTTTTCTTATTCACCTAACGTTTCATCGACGACAACTCCCAGGTTTGTCTCTCTCTTATTATTCACACTCAATTGCAAGTTTCTCTCTTCACCCTTTCTCTCTTTTGTGTTTGATTATCTCTTTTTCATTGCGATTGAAACCTTATAAATTGGGCCAAATTAAAACCATAGAGATAATTATAGGTATATATATATATACACAAACAGGTATCACTATATGATATTTTAATTAGCTCTCAAGTACTTAATAATTTCTAAGTACATGTACGTGATTCCAAATAATTGTTTTTTTCACTAACGTCACAGGTAGTGTTTAATTGATTGGTTTGAGGATAAATTCACACCTTTCAATACTCAAGCTTGTTAAGTCACAGAATAATAAAGTGATGTTCAATTTGTATGACCAAAATTAACAAAACTAAAACGTTCTAATGAAACTACAAGAGTGTTGACCCTAAAATCGGCTCTTAAGATCCGATTTTAAATTGAGATGGAGTGGGCTTTCCAGAACCACTTGTGTGATTCAAGCGTAAATTGTCAACTTTAATCCCTTTGAGTAAGTTGACTTTCAGGCGATGCGAGATAAAAAGGAATAATAAAATTCCTCTTTTAAGTTCAATAATGTCTTAGTTAAAATGACTTTATCAGTGAATAATATATATAGTAACGTATCAAGAGAATAGAAAGGGGAAGAAATAGATATAGAAAATGATAGGGAGGAGATAGGGAGAAAGAGATATAGGGAGAGAGATAGGTATAGCAATGATGCTATTTGAGGAAAATGCTTGAGAAAGCAAATAAAATAATAAATTGATTCTGAGGGTGCTGGACCACTTACAAAGCATGCCCATAGCATTATTTATAGAAAATTACGTAAAACAAACTCCTCTATGTAAGTATTTTACTTGCATTACAACTCTATCATTTAATCAACTATTAATTCAAAATAAACTAATCCTATAGATAACATAATTATGCAACTAAAACTAACTAAAAGATAAGTCTTAAAACAATGATCTTTATCCACAACTTATTCAAAATACTTTTCCCGTCTTTGTATGCAATTTCAACTTCAATCTACGTGGAATATCACCATTCTCTACTGCCACGTCATCAATACAAAATTTACCAAAATGGGTGTCAACAATGCCCCCCATTTTAAATGTCTTATCGGCTGTCGGCCGCCCAAGCTGATAAGATATTTGAAATTTTAAAATACATTGGAAGGAAATTTTGAGTTAATTAATTGAAATAAGATTGCAAATCAGTGAGCTCCAAAGCTTTATTTCTTCTAAATCACCCTAAGATGATCTTTATTTAGCCAAATCTGCCGATTTAGGCTTCTTCCTAAATTCTCAGAAAGTTTGCCGATATCACTTGCCCATAAACCCAGGAAGGACTTGCCCCCCATGTAATTTCTAACTCCATTAGCAAATTATGATTATGATCGACAGGAATTAAATTATTGTGAAGCGTCATTCTAGCCGATCTGTCTATTATCTCTACGACATTGTGCCAGGAAGGAGTTTTCTTAGCTGATTTCATTTCAGCCGATTTTGCTTTCAGCTCTATTAGCAGGGCTGTTTCAAAATTCCATTGATCGGCAAGCATGACCCCACTATAATCAGCAGAAGTATAGATATGTCGTAAAATAACCTTTGACGATTTTACATTCAGCTGAATCGGCAGGACTGCATCATGCCCAAAAGTCCACTGATCGGCAAATATGACCTCATTATAATTGGCATGCTGAAATGGAGCGTATGGATCAACTAACTTTTGTTGGGGATTTGCAATCACATGCCCCCCGGCAGTCGCTGGTTTTTTAGCCGATTTTCTTTTAGCTGATTTTGCCTCAGCCAATTTTCTCAACCGAGCTCTAAGTAACCTTTTGAAATTAAGATCGGCAAGTCTTTTTTTCCTTTGCTTGAAATTGGGTTGAGGATAGCGATTTAAAACAATTCTTTCAGTTGATGATTGCTTTTGCCGTGTCACAATCGGCAAGGAATGTTAGTGCATAGGCTGTTTTGCTTTCAGCCGAATTTCTGGTAAAATTTCCTGCCGAGATCGGCAAGGCTGGACAATTTCAGTACCAAGCTAATAGTTTGTCCAACTTTGTTGTTGATAAGTTACCTGTTGTGACTGATTTACCAATTATCGATAATCGGTTGCTGGAACTTGCCGATAATCTAATGCTGGTGACTGAAATTTTGCTGGTGTCGGATAATAATCGTGCCGATCATACGGCAGATATTTTCTGCTGTTAAGAATCGCAAAATCATTATTAGGCTGAAGTGGAACATACGGGCCAACCTATTCCCGTTGTGGATTTGCAATCACATGCCCCCCGGCAGCCACTGGTGGTACTGATGGAGCTTGTGAGTTATTCTTCCCTCGGTTCTGATTTCCCCCTGTCTCTTGGAGTTCTCTTTGAGGCAAAATCGGCAATGCTTGCGAGTGTTGTTGATTCTGATTTTGCTAACGTAGTACCGATGGTTGAGGACGTTTACGCCCTTGAGCTATCTCGCCCTGGATTAAGGCTGAAACTTGAGCCAACATTGCTTTAATCTCCTGATTCGCCTGCCGATAATTGGCTGTTAGTCACTGATCATTTTCAAGCCAACCATACGACTGCTTGGCTATCGGCTGCTCCCTGAGTACTGGAGGTTGTGATACGGGGGTGATATGTTGATTTGCCACTTGCTGATAATCGACTGTTGGCGTTTGCTGATAATCAATTATTGGAGTCTGCCGATAATCAGCGGCTGCAGGAACATGTCGATAATCGAATGCTGGAACATGCCGATAATCAACGGCTGTTGGCGTCTGCCGATAATCAACTGCTGAAACTTACCGATAATCTGATTTTGAAACTTGCCGATAATCAGCGATTGTTGGCGTCTGCCGATAATACACTGCTGGAACATGCCGATAATCAGCGACTTCTGGAACATGCTGATAATCGACTATTGGAACATGCCAATAATTAGTGGCTGCTGGAACATGCCGATAATCGAATTTTAGAACATGTTGATAATCGGTTGTTGTTGGCGTCTGCCGATAATCAACTGCTGGAACATGCCGATAATTAGCAGCTGCTGGAACATGCCGATAATCGTCTGACCAACCATATGACTGATTAGAATACTAGTACATCGACTGATTTGACTGATGAGAATATTTGTATGTCGGTTGAGAAACCGACTGCATATTTTTTACTATAAATAACTAACCTAGTGGGGTCCCACCGGGCGTACCAAAAACGTTGACCCTAAAATTGGTTCCTAAGATCAGATCTTACATTGAGATGGAGCGGGCGTGCCAGAACCACTTGTGTGGTTCAAGTGTAAATTGTCAACTTTAGTCCCTTTGAGCAAGTTGACTTTCAGGCGATGCGAGGAAAAAAGGGAACAATAAAATTCCTCTTTTAAGTTTAATAATGCCTTAGTTAAAAGGACTTTATCAGTGAATAATATATATAGTAACGTATCAAGAGAATAGAAAGGGGAAGAAATAGATATAGAAAATGATAGGGAGAAAAGATAAAGAGAAAGAGATATAGGGAGAGAAATAGAACGAGACTGAAATAGAGAGGGAGAGAGATAGATATACCAATGATGCTATTTGAGGAAAGTGCTTGAGAAAGCAAACAAAACAATAAATTGATTCTGAGGGTGCTGGACCTCTTACAAAGCATGCCTATAGCATTATTTATGGAAAACTACGTAAAACAAACTGCTTTATGCAAGTATTTTACTTGCATTACAACTCTATTATTTAATCAACTATTAATTCAAAATAAACTAATCTTATAGATAACATAATTATGCAACTAAAACTAACTAAAAGATAAGTCTTAAAACAATGATCTTTATCCATAACTTATTCAAAAAACTTTTCCCATCTTTATATGCAATTTCAACTTCAATCTACGTGGAATATCACCATTCTCTACTTCCACTTCATCAATACAAAATTTACCAAAATGGGTGTCAACAATTAGTCAAGTTCGATATATATATAATATTTCGGTTCTTAGAATTTTGAATCATTAAAATGTAAATTTGTTAATTTGTAATACCCTTAATATTTAAAAAGGATATAGTTGGAATTTAAATTTAGTTTTCTTTGATTTTTATTTCATTTTTATTTAATGATGTGGATTATTTGGTTTATGTACATTTAAATGTGATTATTTGGTTTTGTGCTTAATTGTAATTGTCTATTTGTTTTAATTTAATTGTTTGTTATTTTTTTTTATGTGTCGTATATTTAATTTAGTTGTTTAATTGAAATTGTTTTAATTTGGTTATGGGTTAATTTAACTATTTGATAAATGATGTTTAATTGACGTGTATTTGGTAGATTATATTTGATAGCTTTTATAATTTGTTTGTGTCGTAGGATTTTATTGTTTTGTATAATTTGGTTGCCGACTTGTATTAGGGTTTAATTAAAGCCTATAGAGATACGGGTATAATCAGAGTTA